GCAGATTCAGGGAATGGAAGGAAGTCCTGTATAGCTGCGCTTAGAGGAACAAAAGAGAGGTTACGCAGATGAGGTGGTAGAGACAGGTAGGAGTGAGAGCGTCAGACCTACAACTCTTTTCCCTTCAGAGGCATCTTAAAATGAGTGGAAGGTCTGTGCTTCTTGTTCAGGACCTCCAGACTTTACTGGGAATTCACTGGAGATGTGTAGCAGAGGAATAATAGTGAGATCCACTTTGACTTCTAAAAATATCATCTTGGGTTCTAGGTCCTGAAGATCACTGGGGCAACGAAGCAGAAATGAAGCAGTTCAGAGACCATTTGCAGGGGTCTAGGTGAGAGATGGGAGGCGCTGGAACTGGATAGTGGCAGGGAGTTGGAGAAAAGCGGACAGACTTGAAATTACATCAGAGGTCGAACAGCGGGGGCTCAGTGATTACTGCTTATGGAGGATGAGAAAGGGCGCAGCGTTGAGAGGACCTGCAAGGCACCTGGATGCACGGAAGTGACACTGACATTGGACTTGAGGTAGAGTAAGAGCAGTTTGGGTTGTGATCATTGTAAGATGCCTCTGAAGGGGAAATAGCTGTAGATGACACCATATTTTAGGCTTTGAAAGGTAATTTAAGCATTCAGAGAAACAATGTCATGATACCCTCTGGGAGTGTATCATATGTTTTTCATTTAATAAATGTTAAAGGTTACTGTTTTAATCCTTAGATAGGAGCATGTTAGAAAATTATATTAAGAAGGAAGGGTTAATTTTATTGCTTAAAAAACTGAACATTAGAAGGATTAAAGAAGTGTAGGGATTTAATATCTGATTCATACAATGACCATAACATGTTTCATGGAAGAATAAAAGACTTTAACCTTGTAACTTCTTCCTAAAGCAAATAGTTATTTGAAGCATTAACTTTTCTGAATGTACGTAGTTTCTAGAGTGCAGCTTAGTTAGGAAAAAGGATACTTAGAGACATCACAGAGATGTTTCCGGTCATGTGGGTTTTATCCTAATGTTATTCCTGAACATTTATTTTTACCTTCTGTTCTTTACCCTTATGTTTCTCTTTGTGATCCTAAAAAGTAAAATTAAAATTTATGGGTTACAGCGATTGATTTATTTTTCCTGAGAAGACACATCTAAAAGTCAGGAGAAAATTTCTGTCACTTCTCTGAAAAACTCAGCTCTTTTATGTCACCTCCCTTCCTAACCGCCGGTTGGCATAATTGCTTCATTACTCAGCCCATGTGCACGTGGCCTGCACTCTTCTATTTATACCTGTTTGCTGTGTTTACTCATGTAATTCCCTCCTTTTATCCGTGGTCACTTAGTGCTAAGAGGGTAAAAGTAGAGAATTGGTGGTAATATTATTCATGTTGCAGTGATCTCCCACTGGGCTCAAACCCAGGTTATAATTCCTCCTGTGATGGCTGCTTTAGAAGCCTGGATTCTCGTTGTATGAAAGGAATTTGAACATTTGATAAGAGCAGTGAAATGACGTTTATTCTGAAGTTTTTTTTCACTGTTTAACTTTTTTTTTTTTTTGCAGGGGAGGTCTAGTATGATACCTAATTAGACTTCAAAAATAATTTATATACAGGCTAAAAAATGTCATAATAAAATAAAATGTCAGTTTTCAAGTCATCTTTAGCCATCGGAGATTGAAGCTTACTTTGTTAAGAATAAAAAGAGAAAACAATTGATACTTTTTCAAGGTCCCATGATAGGATTTTGTGATAATAGCCATGTGACCAAGGTTCCAAATGCTTTTCTGAATTCAGTTATATGTGAGTATAAATTTTAGGAACTCATGGAAAGATGTACATTTATTTCATAAGTAAACTTAGAAGTTTGGAAATTAAAGCAGAAAATGCTATTTCCCAGACCAAGTATTTTAAATAAGTGCAGAAGATATATCACCTTCTTTATAGATAAAAACTGCTAAAAGCTATTTAGCTCTGCAAAGCGTAGTGGTAGCTGGTGATAATTTACTCCAGTGGTCTAAAGGACAGGAAAATAACAAGGCTGACACAATAATTTTATGTTAGAGTAGTATCCTAATAGCTGAAGCTGACTATTAAAAAACACTTTCATTTTTACAGGCTGTTTTTGAGCGCTCATTGGTGCACACAGAAACGCTTAACTCAGCTGCCCTTCTGGTCTCTGAAAAACAGGAACCACCTCAGACCTACTGGCAGTCGAGGCCCACCTAGAGTAGGTCAAGGAAGAACTCCTTATATGCTGTTTGTAAAGGTTGAAATAATGTAGAAATAGGCAAAGGAAAAACTTAACTATATTTCTTGCTAGTCTCACATGTCTGTATGAAATTATATCGTATGCTCATATAGAATAGCATGGTCCAATAGAAATATAATATGAGCCACATATGCAATTAAAATGTTTCTGGTAATCATGTTAAAAAGTAAAAAGGAATAGGTGAAATTAATTTTAATAATGTATTTTATTTAACCCAGTATATTCAAAATACTGTTTCATCATGTAATGAATAAAATTATTAATGAGGTATTTTGCTCTTTTTAAGTCTTCAAAATCCAGTGTATTTTTTTTTACACTAATAGCAAATGCTGATTTGGGCTACTCACATTTCAAGTGCTTGTGCATCTAGTGGCTACCGTTTCAGACAGTTCTAGAACAGGTATTTTCCTCTTTCCTATTTTCTATAGAGCTCTTCAGGAAGTTCAGGAGCTATCACTGACTAATTTTGGAAGTGAAGGCTACCTCATTATGATTTGGTTAGGAAGGGCCTGAGGCAGCGTGATGAATACCCTGGATAACTTACGCAGCGATTAAGCAATCAAGGACTTGGGGTAATAAAGGGTGAGGGATGGTTTGACTTGCCTCCCGTCTCTGGGAGCACCTGTGTCATGCTTGTCCTAAGGATTCTTAATTTGTGGAGAACTGAATTGTCACTTCCAGATTTTATAGAAAAATACATCTTGAGGAATTTTCTTTTACAAAGATACAAGGCATGACATTTTAAAATGTTTTTTTGTTTTCTGTAAAGTAAAATTAAAAATAACCCAATCATTTTCTTTTTATAATACTTTGGAAGACTAGAATCTTATTCTTTCCATCATAAGCTTTTTTAGGGGGCAATAATGAAATATATGTATTGATTTTCATCCCCACTGGTTTTTTTTAAAGGCATTTGAAACCTAAAAAATAACATTATTACAGACTTAAGAATAAAGGACGTTAAGTCAGATGTTTGTTTTTGCATCCTTCAGCTGTATTTATTTTTGAATATGTGGGTTACCTAAAAATATGCATTAATTGAGGTTAGATTTTAATAATAAAAACTTCTTCTTAAATGAATCCTAATTTATGCACTTTGTGGGCTAAATGAATTAGGCTCTAAACTTTTATCTGAATCTGTGGAACTTGGATATAAATTGAAAAGATCACAGCTATGGGGAAAGACCTATACTGCAAAGGCCTTTCTGCATAGATTATGAACATCATAACTCAATAATTTTTTCAAAATTGTGGTTATAATTGGACCCAGTGGGGGTCTCTGTCTTTGATCAGATCACAGTAACTGTGACTTTACACTGGAAAATGTCACTACTGTGAAGGTTTATCACCTGTAGAGCTGGTCCTTCCTCTGATGCTGTGTTCCTTTCTCATTAGCATTATTCAAAGTTTAGTTGTTAATTAGGTTGACACTTCAATTACAGTCATCATCCACAAGAGTAGTCAGGGCTGCTTGTATAAAGAAATAAAAATATTCCTCCTTGCATATGTATGTAAAGGAGGAATGACATTATTTTGTTATCTGGTAGTATCGTAAGGGTAAGAACATGCTCTGATAAGGGAACAATCCAACCAGAATTTGTCCCATCAGTTTTTTCTTAAGAAAACAGAATTTCTGCATGACTTCACGTTCCCATGTAGAGCATTGACAAGTAATGTATATGAGCATCAATGGTATTTTTTAAGTGTACAGAGTGTAGCTTTTATTATCTGTGAAAGGAATTGGTCAAGTGAATTGGATGCATAGGAACAGATCACATCACCTCCCCTTTAAAAACTAAGAGTGAGCATCAGGAGGTTGATTACTCTTAGAAAATACTCATCTAAGTAAGGGCTGTTCATAAATAGCATGCATTCTCTAAAATACACACAACCTGAAATTAAAGGATGCAACTGTATGAAAAATTATAACAAATGTAGGTGCCTTTTAAAATTTCACAAATTCCTAGATAACACATTTTTCTTCGATCTTAAAACATCATTAACGTGATTACTGGTTCATAAGGCAATAACGCTGACCTCGAATCCTGCATGTGGTGGTGGAGAAAACTGGACAGAACTGGGTTGAAATCTCAGTTTTGCCACTTAGTAGCCAGATATTGAGGGCAAGTCGATTCACATGTTTGAGCCCCTGTTTCTTCATAAATGGTACTGTGAGTACCTTTCGTAGAAGACGCTGAAGATCAGATGGGACAGTGTCTAATGAGCACAACACAATTCCCCACTTGTGGTAGGTTCTCAGTAACCTTAACTTCCCTCCGCTCTTTTTATCTAATAATGGTGAAAACTATTCGACAAATGACTGGAAAATTATTTACATATACAAACGAAGCTTCCAAAAATAAAACTAACTAGCAAGCAGTCGAACGCTACCCAACCAGCTTCATCTCCAAACAAGTAGACACATGTTGTAATTGCTAAAAATCTGCAGAAAAGTGGCTCACAAGCAGTTTACTGTAAAATAATTAAAGCTTATTTATGTCAAGAGGCCTTGGGAAAAAAGGAGAGCACAGACCAATTTGCATTAGCTCATTACTGTGGGCCCCTGCTTTCCTTTCAATTAACAGACCAGCAGGTGCTCCCTGACTTAGAAGATAAGCTGTCAGGCAGAGGATGAGGCTCCGGCTGACCTGCACACGCTGCGGTCCGCCTGCCCATTGGGCTCGTGCCTCGCTGTACCAATTTCTGAGGTATGAATTTAACGGTTCCTCTCTGTCACGCAGGTCTCGGCCCTGAAAAATAAACTGAAGAAGCAGTCTACAGCTACAGGGGACGGAGTGGCTAGGGCCTTCCTGAGGGCGCAGGCTGCTTTGTTTGGATCCTACAGAGATGCACTGAGATACAAACCTGTAAGCGTTTTATTTCATCACTGTTTTAATGTGCTCTTGTGTGGTTCTTTGGAATGGGGCAGAACAAGAAACATTTTAATATCCCACCCGAAAAAGTATCGTAAAGGTTTTTGAAAATACAAAATAATATGCTTTAAAACATGATGTTCCACCTCCAGTTTCTTGACTTTATGGTTTTAGTTCTTTTAGTAAATAACCCTGAGTTAATATTTCCCAAATTCTCTTGCATAGCACCTTGTTTATTGTTCTAGAATTGGAATTCTTACTCGTAACTAATTAATGAATTGTGTTACTACGTCTTAGAGTAACGACCCAATCTTGTTAAGATTACTAAGAAATCAACCAGACAGTTGGGTTTATTAGATCAGAGTTTAGAAATGACAAGTATAATGTGAAAGTTTAAAAATATTAGAACTTGAACATTTTGCAACATTTGGAAATTTATTGTCTTCCTAATTCATAACACTTTTCTAAGTGGGCTTATCTATTTAGCATATCCTAGCTCACTTTGCCGTTTCTTTCTTGTTTTAATACCCCCCAAATGATTATTATGTAGAATTGTAACCCAGGTTGTTAGATGGTCCAAAAAGGTATAAATTAAAATATGTTTTTTTTCTCTCGGAATTATTGGTTAAGTATGTTAGTCTGATTTTACGAAAATGATTACACTGCCCTTTCATGACCAGGTGAATAACTGGTTTAAAAATATTGAGTTAGTAATAAGTAATAAGACCTGTTATCTAGTGGGTATTTCACCATTGTTAAGGCTGTGTAACCTTGACCCATTTCTTTAGTCTCTCTCGACTTCCATCTAATTTGTAAAGTGAGAATTCTTATACCTTCTCTGTCTACCTTTCAGGGTTGGTGTGTAAATCCTGTCATAAACCATGAAGCACTAAACAAATGTGAACGGGTTATATGCTTTCTGAACTGACTTCTAAATTAGTAGTTCCCACCCAGTGGCTCTTGTACCTCTGAGGAGTTATTGAGTTAGGCAGATCAGCTACTGTCTCTGGAAAAGTGCATGTGGTCTAATTTGCATGCTAATCTTTTTGAAATATGTGTGTATTTTTTAAAACATTATATAGAACTCATAGTACCATACAGAGTATACGTATCTCACATGGGGGAGTCTTCAAAAATTATTGACAGTGATAGGGTCTCATTCTTTACAAGACTGGAAACCAGTCATCCACACTACAGTAGAGCATAGTCATTAAAATTAGTGAACATCAATTGAAACAGAAAAATGGGTTTGAAAGACAAAATTAGTGGTTGATTTTAGATATCAGATTCTTTGAAGGAGATTGCTTTCAAGTTTTACAGTACAGGAGGAAAGTTAAAAGTATCACTTTGCTTGAATTTTGCCACATTTAAATACTTAATCTATAAGCTACATTTTTCTTTTCATTTTCCTTTTTAAATTTGTAAAAGACTTCAGATTTGAGGAAAGCAGATTGAAGAGAAAATCTTCTTAAACGATTTAAATGATCAGTGTTGTTAGGTGATGGTTAAAATTATTAAAATATTCCATCTTGAACATTAATTACTTACTATAGTTTTTGTAGCTTGATTTTCTCCCTCTTTGAGCTTGATTGAGCAGATAGTAGGGTTACAGGATTTCAGTGACTCTGACTTTTTTTTTAAACATCATGAAAGCCAGATTCTCAGCATTTGTGGGAAAATAATTTTGTCACAGAACGTCTTTCCTGTTTAGTGATCACATCTTATAAATTTATTTGTTAACTTATCTACATTTTTCCTTTTTATGTTTGATGTTTTCTCCTTCCCTTTCTACTGCTGGTTCTTTCTGGGAGTTGGGGGATGGTATTTTCATTCTGTATGCCTTCACATTTCTTTTGACTCAGTCTTTGAATGAAAGCTCAATTTATTTGGACATTTTTTTCCTATATATTTTCAAAATAAATAGTTTTTAAGGAAAATTATTTATTGTATATAAAATATTTGTTGTTTTTGTTGTTTTAGGTATTATCTTTAAAAATAACCATGGACCCTTTTTTTGGACATTTATATAGCAGGCATATATCTTTGATATATTTTCCGATTGATGTAAAAAAAAAAAAAAAAAGTCAAGTTTGGAAGTTACAGTTATTTCATGATTTTGTCTCTTTTCATTATAAATGTATTTTAGTGGTATCCTCCAGCTACTGGAGTACAATTGGAAAGGGAAATATTACAAAATAGCTTTTAATGGATATGAATTCTTTAACTAGGTATTACTTTTTGAAATTTCCTGACTGTTTATACACACACAAAAATTGAACCAGTATTTCCCTTACGTTTGACAAAATTGAGCCTGTTGATTGGTCTGTGACGGACCAGAGTCTCAGGGCCCTGCCTTCGCCTGGCGTTCAAGGCCCTCGTGATGGGCAGGTGGTCTGTGTCTTCCTTTATGTTTTTTCTAAACTTTGACCTCAACTCAGAGAATTCTGCCTGAGGCTCTAAATGTCCCAAGCTTCTCAGGCTTCCAAACCCTTATTTACAGTGTTCTTTCTTCCTGGCAGTGCTTTTATCTTTCTAGCTTTTAATGGCCATCTAGTTCTTTCCTGATCCTTGAAGCAGTAGTTTATAGTGACACTTTCTTTCTGTGAATTGATTATATTTACTTTCCTTAACACATTTCTTTTCCCTTTTTTTTTTTTTTTTTTTTTTTTTTTTTTTTTTTAAAACATCTACCACCTCTGTGCAAAGTTTGAGGGTCCTTAGAGTTTGGTGTGCTGCCTGACAATATGCAAGGGTCTTGTAAATCTACTAGTTTTTTTTTTTTTTTTTTT